GTTCAGCAGATGTAAAATTACTCTACCATGTTGTTATAAAAGTTTCCTGAAGCTAATTTCAGCATGTATCTAGCTGCAGGCTGGTAACGAACAGGGGGTGAATGTGCACTGGTCTGCAGACCACACTGCTTGCATTTCATCCAACCTCTCATCTGATGCCACATGAAAAAATTCTATCACCCAGAGGTCCTCCTGCCTTTAGTCAGACACTTCACTGAATGCGATAATGACATTGTGACAAGAGTGGCCTTGTTCTAAGGAGATGCATGCAGAGTGATGATGTCTGCAACTAAAACAAGAGGGAGAGCAAGAAAGGGAGAGGGGGGAGGGAGAGGGAGGGAAAATAGAGAAAGAAACAGAGACAGGGACACAGACTGTGCAAATGTGGCAAAATGTTAGTAATTGATGAATCTAGGCGGGTGTATAGGTGTTTATTATCCAGTTCTTTCAAATTTTCAGAAAATTTGCAATTAAAAAAAAAAAAACAACAAAAAACCTCTCCAGTGATGGGAAACATACTTTTCTCCAAAAAGCCAGTTCTAAGATAGCTCGTTTTCATCTTCAAGTATAAATACTGCAGTCGGAGCATTCATTTGTGGCTTTAATACCTGCCATTTCCACGTGTCTAATCTCCATTCACCTTTCAGTCTTTTCACATTTTTCTCCATATCATCTATAACATTAGATACCCTTAAACTTTAATCATAGCACACCTTTAAAAAATATTTTTTCTAAATATATATACACACAGACACACACACACACACACACACACACACACTGTGGTATATAAATATACCAGTCATCTTTCAAAGTCAATCTTTTTATTCAAGATTTTCTGTGATCTCATCTTGAACTCTTTTTCAGCTTTTTAGCTTCATTTTCTCATGGTTAATTAACAGTCACAAATTAAATTTTTATGCTTTTCCAGTGTTACTGCTTCTTAGTCCTAGAATTCCCCCTCACACAGAATTCTAGTCTATTCATTCTTCAAGATCCAACTCAAATGACTTAAATTTAAATGTAGTATATCTTACATACACAGCTGTTCAAATCCTACATTCTTCGATAAGTTTTCCTTAAATAACTCAGCCAAACTCAGCCAAAATCTCTAGGGCTTCATACAGTGCTTGGCACATACACTTAATACACATTTTTCAGCTAAACTCTCTCATAGTTCTTTTTTTTTCTTTTTGGCCTCACTTTGCAGCATGGGATCTTGGTTCCCAGACCAGGGATCAAACCTGTGCCCCCTGCAGTGGAAGCGTGGAGTCCTAAACAGTGGACTGCCAGGGAAGTCCCTCTAATAGTTCTTAACTGACGACACAGAAAGATAATACCTTCCTAGTCTATCTCAAAGAGTGGCTTTGAGGTTAACGTATTTGCAGTTAGCATTTTGCATTGTATGTGTGTGTGAAAGGTATCTGTAAGCCATAATGCCCCATACTATTATTTCTTATTTTTATTTTTGCTTTCTCTTGAGGCAACATATGGGACATATAACAGCTGTCCAAAGGCCTAGGGCAATAGACATAATACTGGGGTATTCATGGTGTATGAAGACTTTCTAAGATGTGTATGAGCGCTGAGCCTGTTTTAAGGCAATCCATTCTCTGATTCTCACTTCCCTTTTACCTGAAAGGATCTGCCAGAAAATGTGCCCTGGGGTCAGAGGGTAATGTGGGCTCCTTTGCAGCTTCCCTTATCCAATTGCCCCTCCCCTACTTTACAAAAAAAAGGCATAATTCTGCCCCACCTCACATCTTCCTAAGGTGCTGTACCCTGGGGATGCAAAAACCTCCACGGCACCGAAAAAAGAACAATTGACTGGTGAATGAGAATGAGTAACACATCCTTTTACAAGTCAGGTGGTTTTCAGTTACTTGCTTTCAACAAAGTTGAAAGAGAATCTAGTCTGTGTTGTCAGCAGATAGACCATTAAAAGTATTTTTTTCTTGTTAGATCTTTGTGACTTTTTGGGGCATATAATTTGGAAAGAGTTCAGAGAATTGAGTTGCATTGCTGTAAAAAACTCCATGAATTCTCATGTACTTATTTATGTGAACAAGTTTTCTCAGTGCTTACATCCGTGGAATTGAAAGCTTGGAATCGAATTGAAGTAGCTTGTTCTCATTCTAGAAATACTCATCCACTGATAATCTAGTTTAAAAAAGTATTCAATTCCATCTTTGTGAGGTGTATTGCCAACAAAACTTTACTTTTGTGTTTAATATTTATAAATATTTTGAAATATATTTGTTTTGATCAGTTGAAATAAGACGAGTGTTATGATCACAGGAAATTTAAAAACAACCGTTAAATTTCAATTTCTGTACACATTTTTGTTACAAGGAAATATAAGATGATCAATAAAACAGTTCGAATATAAAATATATTATTAAGATAAAATTCAGGACAGGATGTAAAATGTACATGAGTCCCAGAAGATAAAGGATGGAAATCGCCCAAGCATAAAAGAGATCGGATTCTAAAAAGTGGATATTAGTGGGTGTTAAATCCCTATGGTATTTAGGGTTCACTGGCTACGTTTAAAAAAGTGTGACAGTTATAAAACATAAGAAGCTGGAAAAAATGTGGATGTCACTTTAAACCGTATAAGGATGTACAAAATCGTTTTAGAGGGCTCAGGAGCTAAAACGTTTGAAGATCTTGAACACACGTTTGCTCTGAGACTGTGATTTAACCATTCCTCGGGTTATTCGAACGCAGGTTAGATGATAACCTGTGGCTCTATGTCGCGCGTATGGACTCAGTACCTCGCACTGTATTATTGATTTTTACTCATTTTAATCGCCTCTCCTCGTAGACTGTCAGCTCTCAGAAGCCCAGGGACTTGTTCCGATTCTTAGCTCAGCGCCTGTGCACCGGGGACGCTCCCCAAATACCCCCCGGAATGAATGACTTTATCTTAAGACCTCGGAGGGCTGTTAGAATCGCCGGCTAGCGCTCAGGTTTTTGTTCCGCGTGTCCCGCCAGCCGCGCGAGCAGGGAAGGCGTGGGAAGGCCCCGCGGAAACTCTGAGTCCTCGGCGGGTCGGGGCGGAGGCCGGGCGGGGACCAGCGGGGGCGCGGAATCCGCGGCCGGGGGTGGCGGGGGAGGCGCCACCGCGTGCCGCCGCGCAGGCGCGCAGCCGTCTCCGCGTGAGTGCGCGCAGTCGCGCGCCTGTCCCCGCGCGGGCTCCGTAGCGCGTGTGCAGGCTGACGCAGCTCGCGGGCCCTCCTCCTGCTCTGCAGCGGCGTCGGCGGAGTTTTGGTCGTTCGGGAGGGGTCACGGGAGCGAGAGTCCAGAGAGGGAGGCGGCGGCGGCGGCGGGGAGGAGGAGGAGGAGGAGGAGCAGCGGCAGCGGCAGCGGCGCCGGCGGCGGACAGGAGGGAGCGGCGGGCGGCGTGGAAGGCAAGGCGGTGGGGAGAGAAACCCGGCGGCCGCCCCCCGACCGCCGGGCCCTCCTCCCACGCCTCCTTCCACGTCCGACCGACCGACCGGCCCCCAACCCTCTCTCGCTCGCGCTCTCCTCCTCCTCTCGCTCTCTCGTCTCCTCTCCGCCCCCCCCCTCTCCTCTCTCCCCTCTCCCTCTCTCCCTCCACCCCTCACACGCCGCCAACGCCACGCAGCCCTCGGCGGCGGCGGTGGGGGCGGTGGAGGCGGCGGCGGAGTGGGGGGCGGCGAGGCGGAGACGATGTCGGAGCCGAGCCCCGAGAGCGCCAGCCAGGCCGGGGAGGAGGAGGACGAGGAGGAGGACGAGGAGGAGGACGAGAGCAGCAGCAGCGGCGGGGGTGAGGAGGAGAGCAGCGCCGAGAGCCTGGTGGGCAGCAGCGGCGGGAGCAGCAGCGACGAGACGCGCTCGCTGAGCCCCGGTGCCGCCAGCAGCAGCAGCGGGGATGGGGACGGCAAGGAGGGCCTGGAGGAGCCCAAGGGACCGCGGGGCAGCCAGGGCGGCGGCGGGGGCGGCAGCAGCAGCAGCAGCGTCGTTTCCAGCGGCGGCGATGAGGGCTACGGGACCGGGGGAGGCGGAAGCAGTGCGACCTCCGCGGGCCGGCGAGGCAGCTTGGAGATGTCGTCGGATGGGGAACCCCTGAGCCGCATGGACTCCGAGGACAGGTCAGTGCACGGAAGCGTTTCCCCGTCCCTTCCTCCTCTTGCGCTCCTAGGCCCCTCCGAGGGGCCCGAGGGGACTTTTTGCTGAGATCCCCTTGCTCCCCGAATCCTCGGCCCCTCCCCCCGGCTCTCAACTCGGAAATCTCTGCCGGCCGCCGCGCCCCTCTCGCTGCGGATAGCGGCTTCCAACTCTCAAACCCTTTTCCCCCCAACTCTCCTTTCCCCGCCCTCTTTCCCCTCGGCTCTGCACTCCGTACGGACCGAAGGACGGCTCCAACTCGGAAACAATCCCCAAAGTAGGCCCAGATCCTGTGGCGGAGCCGAAGAGGGCCTTGATGTACGCACCTCGGTACACAAGGTTAGCTTCATCCCGCCGTGTTCGCGAATACTTGTCAGAACCGTAATTGACAAGTGTTTTCCAACATGGCTGGTCTCGCCTGGATGTAACAGAACTTCCTTGTTCAGGGAGGAGACCCCCCAACCATCACTTTCCTTTACTTAGAAAAGTGAAGAATATTCTTTTATATTTAATCAGCGCTTCCAGAATTCCTCATGTGTGGTCATTAACATGGTCTCCAAAGTGATTTTAGTAACTTCTGTTTCGTTGGTGATCAAACTGGGGAGAAAGTTTTAAAAACGTATAAATCGTTGTGTAAAAGAATAATGAATTGGTGTCCTTTAAAATAACTTTGCGGAATCGAAGAGAGTTGGAATTGTAACAAAATGCAGTCTTAAGGTACAGCATGTTAGTATGCGTTTTAAAATCTTTATACAGTAATGCTTCAACGTGAGAGTCATGATTTTAGATGATAATATTTAAAGTCATGTTTTGGCGACATCTCTGAAGGGATTAGTAGCATTTTTCTAAAGCTTAGAAAGAATGTGGAGACTGACAAAAATGCGCTTCATCTTTTCGGGACATTAAGAAGTTTATTGTTATGGTATGTTTCAGTTGTTACTATCATTACTTTTGATCTCTGGAAAACTTTGTACTTTAACTAATTGGCTTTTAATGTACTTTTTTAAACAGAGAGAACCATGTCATGCGTATTATAATGCATCTAAAGTATATTAGTTATTTTGACCATCTGCTAATGTTTTGATGAGCAGTAGAATTTTTGACAATCTTTATTGACTTGGATTTAAAAGTTAAAGTATTCTAAAGTTCTAGGAATTCTACTGTTAACATAAAAATGAACACAATGGCTTATATTTAGTGTTATAAGGAATTCACAGCTCTAAATATTTTGAAAATATAGCATCAAATTCTGTTTGACATTTACTCTAATGTCTAGTTAAGGAAACATCTTGAGTAGGGTAAAGTAGAGAGTGCAAACCTTGGAAAAATTGTCCTGAACTATACAGGCATGGCAGGAATGAGAATGTCTTCAAGAAAATTAAAAATTGATGTGAACTGCACAATGAAGCATGTGTCATTTATCATTTTACTGTATACTCCTTCTTTGGTACCAGTAGATATTTGAAAGTTGACATTAATTTATACAGTCAGCATCTACCACAGTTGTTCCACGTACCTAGTGTACACACACACCCATAAAACACACTTGCCTAGCACTGCACGATTTAAATGCCTTAATTATTTCATTTCCACAACTCTGGCTCAAGGTAGGTATTATTTTGACTTCCATTTAAGAGATGAAGAAGCAAGTTGAGTGTCTTACTCAAAAAAGTAAGTATAGAATGGAAGTGGTGGAGCTGGATCTGAACAAAGGTTCTCTGCTATTTCCACTTCACAAGAGTTAGAATAATTCACTTTAAATAGCTACAAACAGGATGTGCCAGGTATTTGGCGTGGTTTTTTTTTTTTTTTTTTTTTTTTTAGTTAATATCTGTCTACTAGTCCTTTTAGGAGATAGTAATTGGCCAAGCAGTATTTCAGGAAGTGGAGTTTTGACTTCATTTTTATTAGATATTCACTTGAATATGTAATTTTTACATCATATTTCAGAGTAAGGAGTAAGATATTGGTGCCAAATAAGGTTAAAACCTGATAACCAAATGTACTTGCTTCTCTTGATGCTTAAACATTAGAGACTACAAAACACTGTAATCATTTTACCATTGCAGGGTAATAAATTTATCACTTGTATGAAAAAACCTTATGTGATTAGTGAAACTGGTTGTGGTCTTGATAATCTTAATTTTGAAACTCCCCCTTTTTTGCCTTTGAGTTTTTTTTAAGAGTTATTTTAAATTTGCAGAGGATTCATAATTCTTATAAACTGTCCTGCAAATTACATCAATCTACGGATTTTATAGATTGAGTTCACGGTAGGAAGTCTTTATATTTGTAACTGATGGGAGGATATCGTGGTTTTAAAGTGCTTTTTAGAAACATGAGGCATCCTATTGCAAGGATTTTATTATCATTAGAATTTACTCTTTCTATTAGAATGCCAATTGAGTTTTTCTTTCAGTTTGAAATTAGTTTATACTTTTGAGTTTATCTAACATACTTTGTAAGTTGTTGAAATTATCTTAAATATTTTTAACTGTAAGTGCTCCGTTTTAAGAAAGAACTAACTTTAAAGATTTGGATATTAAAGCTTGTGATCCAAGGAGTCAGTTTACAAAACGTATTTGAAGTGTTGTGAAAGTGATTAATTTATAAAATGATTAAATCACACTTGGTGCCAAAAACATGGTTTTTCCCAGGAGAAAGTTATTCAGAACCAGTCTAAATGTATTGGTGTGTTTATTGTGGTAAAGTTAGAAAACGTTAAAGTTAATATGTAGTTTCCTTTTAGTTTGGATATAAAGATAATGGGATTTTCATTGAGGGGAATATTTAGCTGCGTGAGGCCACTAGAAACTAGCTTTTATTTTATTTTACTTTGAATCTAAGCTTAAGTACCTTTTAAAAAGTTACCACCTTTTAAGTTAATTTCAGAGGCTAAGTTGACTTTTAAATAGAATTTTAGAATGCCTCTGAAATATTTTTAGTGTAGAAATTAGTTCTACCTGTTGAATCAGATTATACATGAAAATACTCTTCAGTTGCTTATCTGTATAAGCGAATTGATAATAACAGCCTCTGTTTTGTGCTTATTTGTCTCTATTACGGTTCCCCCCTCCCATCTAGAATATAAGATACGACTTATTTTGAAAAAGCCACTTTTATCAGACTTTCTGGGTAAATCCAGGTGTCAGGTGAAGAGTGCGTGCATAAGGTTGGGGTGATAGGGAAGGGCATTTAGTATGAAACTTAATGATCAGCAAAGACTACAGGCCCTTACTGTTTTGTGGATTAAAATTTGGATTACCAACCTAATGGGTTGCAAACTTTGAGGTATAATTAAGGTTGTTTTGACACTGGGAAAACAGGGTTATGTTTCGTACTTTCCCAGTAATATGATTAGGAAGATCTTTTTCTAGCGTGGAGGCTAAACTTTTAAATCAGGTTAATATTAGAAGGCTGCATGTTGAGGTTATCATCAAGACCTATTAAGGCTCTGTACAGTTGAGGCAATAAAATACTTTTATAAGAGGTAAGATTTTGCTCATACTTCATGATGGAACTGCTTTTCACCATTCACTTTTCAGCTCTGAAGCAGCTGTTCATAGTCTCTCCAGAATCCCTGTTTTAAGCTACCTTTTAATTTTGACTAAATTTAGGGAAGAGCTTCTAACAGGTTTCAGTTGTCATTGATTACAGATTGTAATTCTCAGTTAAGAAAGGTATGGCTCTGTGCTAAAAAGTAAACAACAATAAAACTACAGGTTTCAGGATTGAACTTATATGGAGAGATTCTGAGGGGTCATTTTACTTTTAAGAAACATTGAGACTATTGGATTGGATCAGTTAGGAAATCTTGTGTGTAATCTAGTTTGTTACCAAGCATAGGTATTTACTGTGTGCAGGAAGGACTCTACTGGATGTTGTGGGATACAGGAAGACAAAATGCTTCCCAGTTCATCCATCTTGCATATTGCTCTGAAACTTTTAATTCCAAAGTGTGGTTTTGCCATAATTCCTAGCACAAAACTTTATTGACTCTAAACAAAGTTATAGATGTCACACCTTGCCTGTTGTATTAGCTATTTATTGCTGTGTAACAGATACCCCCAAATTTAGCAACTTAAAACAAACATTTGGTATCACATGTGGTTTCTGAAAGTCAAGAATGGAGAGGCTTAGCTCGGTGGTTCTGGCTCAGAGTCTGCTCTTGCAGCAAAAGTGTTGGCCAGCATTGCAGTCATCTGAAGGCTGGACTGGGGCTGGCAATCAGCTCACTTAAATGTAGCTTTTGGCTACATTTTGAGGCCTCAGTTACTCACCAGGTCAGTATCTCCATAAGGCTGTTTTTGTGTTCTTAGGACATAGCGACTAGTTTCCCCCAGAGCAAGTCATCTGAGAGAAAGAGAGCCAAGGATTTTATGACCTAAATATACCTGCTCACATTATTCTTCATACATCTTCACTTAGCAGATATATTTTTCCTACTTTTCTTTTTATTCATACTGTGATACATAATAAATGCTTCAGATTTTTGTTGACTGAGACAACCTTTCAAAACCCATCAAAATGCCACAACAAATTCTTTCCTGGTCTTACTAAACTTGATTTTAATTTTTTCTTTTTAATTACTGTATTTGTATTTCTTCTTTATTTTTTCATCTCAATTTCTGACTTTGTTATGTAGGGATGTAGAAATTGCAGTATAAAGAGCCTGTAATCAAGAGTCAAAGGACAGGGGCTTCCCTGGTGGCTCAGTGGTTGAGAGTCTGCCTGCCAACGCAGGGGACATGGGTTTGTGCCCCGGTCCGGGAGGATCCCACATGCCGCGGAGCGGCTGGGCCCTTGAGCCATGGCTGCTGAGCCTGCGCTCCGCAATGGGAGAGGCCACAGCAGTGAGAGGCGCGCGTACCGCCAAAAAAAAAAAAAAAAAAAAAAGTGAAAGGACACAATTCAGATTTTAGCATTGCTACTTATATTATGATTTTAAGTAGTATCTTTGACCCTTAGTTCCTCAACTGCAAGA